TATATTTATATATATATAATTAGGTCTTACTTTCTCAAATCTGTCCTTCTATTTCTCTGTGGGCTCTTTTCTTTTTGTTGTGTCTAACTCATTAAACTCTGCGAAGGACAGGGGAAAAAACCTCAAACTCCCGTCTGTTTTCTCTCCCTCCACTTGTCTCAGATCATGGAGGACTGGAAGTACGTGGCCATGGTGCTGGACCGCCTGTTCCTGTGGATCTTCACCACAGCCTGCTTCGTGGGCACGTTCGGCATCATCCTGCAAGCCCCGACCCTCTACGACGACCGGGAGCCGCTCACACCCGTGGACCCCACGGACAGTTGCTACTCGGCCTACTCCTCTAGATAACAAAAGTCTTGGCCGTTGTTTAGCCACATGCTGTGAATAATGGACGCCTGTAAAGGTGGTTTTCAAAAAAAGACAACAATTGTGCTGTGTGTGAATAATCTGGGTAACTGTGATAAAGATCGAATATCTCATGTCTAGTATATAATGTGGATGGGTGTGGTATGTTTGTTATCATAATTTGTAAGGCTTGGCATGGACTGATGAACGTTTGTTATTGGGATTTTGTGTTTGTGGTGGGGGGGGGGGGGGTATTTCGTTCTTTATAGATAATGTTGTGAATAACGCTTGTTTTTTATGACTCCTGTAAACGATATTGCAGATGATAAATAATGATTTTGACAAGTCTTTTTTTAAGGTTACACTGTGCTTTTGCTGGGTAATAAACGTTTGTTAGGATTTTCAAAGTGTAATATGTGCTGTTGATGAAGAACATAACATCATAATTATTACGATTGTACATATATGCGTACAAGAAAGGGAACTGTTTAATCAGTAGTCCCATTTAATGAGTAATGAAAAAGAATATGTGTTGTAATTTTTAATTAGTAGTGCTGTAGATGGGAGTGGACAGTGAAAAAAGTTTTATGGATGATAAATGAATAATTGAATGACGTGTTAATGTCTGCTCCTTCGGAATGGTGACTTTGTTGAATATGTAAATGATGGGTACAGAAAAAGGAGGTTATTTTGTGTGAATGTTTCCATTTAAGGAGGGGTGGTGTTTTTAATAAGATGTTTTATACAGCGCTGACATGTAAAGTTGTATGTTTGTGAAGATTCTGAGTTCATTATTTGAGTATTCGCTGGTTCATTATAAATGATTGTGATACACAGAGTCTAATCGTCACCTCCCATGGAACTGCGGGGGTGTGTGTGGGAGTGTATTGTAAATGTATGTGTACATTAAATTAGACTCATTATGGGGCAGTGCTCTACATGGAATGTTACATACGTATGCGTGACGCATATTGGTTTGATGTTGTGTCGTGTTTATTTGAAGTGCTGATGACAAGTATATGGACGAGTCAAATACCATACTGCTTGTTTGTTTGGAGTGCTTTTATCTATATTGAGCAATGGATAATGAGTACACTGTGTAAGGATTAATGAAGACCGTTCGTATTACAATATGTCGTGCGGGGAAAACAATGAAATAATACTTCTGTATGCGTTTTATAGTGCGAGCCGTATGTGTTTGGGTGTATGTATGTGTGAGAGTGAGTGTGAATGCGGTTGCTGTTGATGTCGTTATTATTATTATTGTTGTTTCTGTTACTGTCGTGATTGGTTACATTTGCTTACCAGAAAGGTATTTATGGTGTTCTTCTTTGTAGGGTAAAATGTAAGTAGTCCAAGAGCGTGGATTTCTAGAATATAGTTCTATTAAACGGGACGGAAACACGCTGTGTAGAAATACTGACGACACGAGAGACGGTAGGCAGAGAGGTAGACAGGCAGATACGAGGTAAAGGCAGACCGACAAACATGTATAAACTCATATGTAGACTGACAGAAGAAGAAAGAGACAGGTAGGCGGAAAGGCAGTGAGAGAGAGAGAGGGAGAGAGAGAGAGAGAGAGAGAGAGAGAGAGAGAGAGAGAGACCGATGAAAATGGAAGACAGAAAGATGGAATGAAGCGTAAGAGCTGTAGCTTTGATGCACGTTTCGAAACGTAAGAGCTGGACATGCGATATGCCATGGAAATGCACTCACGCACTTCTACAGTACATCTTTCGAGTGCACACAACTGGTTTTCTTTTTTCAATACGTTCAAGACGGTGGCGTCTGCCAGCTCATCTGTTGATACATTTGTCTCTTGTGTATGCCTTTTGTTTTTGTAATGACAAGCACACAGTATGGAGTGCATCTGCAAAATAGACATAAATATTTCAAAGGGCAGGGTGTTAGGGCTTTATGGGGGCTAGACTTCGAAACATGTTGACATAACGATTGTTTTCCAATGTATTCTCAGGGCGTGAAATAGAAAAATACGGAAGCGTTGAACGGAAGGGTAACACTAACAACAGTAGTATTGTTTACTGTGTTTCATGTCATGATTTTATGTATTAGTCATTCCAAATCATGTGCGATCTCATAAAAATTGTCAGTTAAGAAAACAAGAGACACAATGGACTCTCCTGAGCAAATGTTTGAAGGAAAATAAAGAAGAGAAGGGAGTAGTGAGAAACACAAGGGAAAACGGGTAACTTCTGAAGATAAGACGCATTAATGATTGCTTTCAAGGTTGTTGTTGAACTTCCTTGTTTATGCAGGGGTGGGGGTGGCGTGCGGGAGATTTGCTTTTCGGCTCCTGGGCGTTAAATATCCGTCTGAAATGTCCCAGAACCACGTTCAGAACGGATAGCTCGCGCGTTGCTACCTCCATCCCCAATTGAAGGAAAGGGCAATTATTGTATCCTCAGTTTGCCGTATGCTGTCGGTAATCTTCTGAAAATCACACGATGGACTGATGCGCTGCTTCGAAGTGAATTGGCCGGGTAAGGGTTATTTCGATGGCATGTGAGCCTTAAGCTGGCAAAATGGAAAGATTAAAAATTTTGACTACAAATTGAAGTTATCTAAAGTGACACAGGCCTATTTGTTCCAAATTACTTTTTTGGGTCCCCCAAGTACTCTTTCGCAGCTGGGTGTGTGTTTTAAGGAAAAATGTTAAAGTACCCAGCAATGTCTTTAAAAAAAACTAAGTGAGCCTGTCGTGAGCCTAGCTTCAAGTCTCCAACCAACAAATATTCTATCAGAGAATGTTTAAAAAGTATTAAACATAGGTGAGTAGTATTTTCTACATTCCAACTGGGGTTGTCAAGAAAAAAGAAGTGAAAACAATTTTATGATTTTTTCTAGTTGTTTCAGTAGGCTGGTTCATCATCAGGTGTATGATGTGTAGGTACATGTAGTTGCTTTCGTGTAAAGGAGCACATAAGATTTGAGAACATTGGAAAGAAATCATTTTTAACCTGCTCTGTGTATCCTTGTGTTTGGTTAGTCTGTGTTGCTGTCCAGACAACGCAAACATGTGAATGTATATGGGGCGCACGAAGGGGCGGGTGCGGGGGTGCGCTTGAAATATTTAGTAAAAGAATTAACCTGACAGAAATTGTAATTTAAGAAACATAAGATATATATATATATATATATATATATATATATATATATATATATGATATATACCCTGCGTTATTTATGCCTATGATTTGTGCGCATTGGCGATTTGAATGTATTATGTTTGTGTGTGTGTGTGTGTGTGTGCGTGCGTTTGCGTGTGTGTGTGTATGTGTGTGTGTGTGTATGTGTGTATGTGTGTGTGTGTGTGTTATCCATGTACGTGAGAATACATGTGTGGGCGGTTATTTGTATTTGTGCACGTATATATGCTTGTATGTATCTATGTATGTGTAAATGTCTGTGTGTTTATGGGCATGTGTGTCTGTATGCTTTTGTGTGCTTGCTTTCGTTCACGAGACTGTTGACATTCTAGAACCAAAGGCAGTAAATATAAACTGATGCGCACTTTGACCCTTATACATCATGTATATAAAAACAGAAAGAGCGTAAATGGATGTCTGTTAGTATTAATGTGTTGAATCCTTTTCCCCCTCCCAGAATTAGTTTATGTAAATGTGTGCATACTAATCACATCATTCACAATACTGTACAAAATTCAGTATGTAGGTGTCATATTTTGTTTGAACTGTTATTTTATGTCAGGAACTTCCCTTGGGCTGTTCATTTATTTTTCCTATCATTGTCGCTTAAACGTTAAGAGAAACTGGTGTTAGAGAAGATATTTTCCTAACTTTTCACCATATTCAACTCAGACGTACTTCATTGTGATCAAGTTAGATTTACGTTCACTTTGAAAACAAGTAGTAGAAAAAAATAGAGAGAGGGGGGGGGGAATGTCACGTGTACCTTTAGAATGGTAGGTATGCGTTTCAGGGTCAGATTTAGACAATGGTCCCTATATCACAGCTTGTATTTGGTTAATATATCACTTCAGGTTTTAGATTAACCCATCACGACACGTTTGTTCATCATGTCACTATAAGTATTTTGTGCATTTCTACGGGTATTTGTTTTTCGTCAAAGCTTTAGCATATCAAATGAATCGGGTAGTGTATGTGTAATGCGAATATGGAGTGATGAAAAGTAATAAAAGCAAAGCTACACACCATGCATCAAATACACAAGTAGTTTTCATGTTCTCCCAGAACGGCGAGGGGGAAAAGTGAAACTGTAAAATAAAGTGCAAAGCTCAAATTAATTCACTCGTCGTTGTTATAGAAACATAATATGATATTATATTTACCTGTGTTCTTTTTTTTTCTTGATGAAGAGTCCATTCCTTTGTCGGCTTTGTACTTAAAATTAGTTGAACAGGAGCACGACAGGTGAAGTGATCAGAAATATCTGCCACGTTCTCCCCCTAGAGGCGCCACAAAAAAGAGGAGGACGGGCCAAGTGGCTAAGAAGTAACTCGCACGCTGTGTTCTCGGTGGCGCCCGTAGTGTTGCACGTTCCTGAGTCTCGGACTTTGATACCGGCGCCCTTTGACTCAGCTGTCCCTGCAACTGATGGGGTTTTCCACTAGAAATTACTGTTTGATTCGTATCCTTTTTGCTATTTCTTCCTGTTACGCTTCTTTTTGCTGTGGCTACATAAACATATCTTAAACGCGAGCCTGTCAAAAGTAAAGGTAGGTTTATAGTGTGATGCTGACAGAAAGTTTTTCTATTTCATCCGATTGACGCTTTCTGTCAACTAGCTTTTCTGCTTCATTTAGAGGGTGTGCCCATTTCGGCCATGTGCTTCTCTGAATTAAAAAGACGTCCTTTGTCAAGTTTCTAGGATGTCCGGCCTGCAATCAAAGATGGTGTGTCTTTTATACAGTTACTGTCTCCCACTTTCCTTTGTTTATTCAGCCGTAAAAGTTGTACACTCAACCTCAACTGCAGAGACGGAAATATATGAGTAAGAGGATCTGGTTCACTTGTCATATGAGACGGAAAAGTAAAAGAAAATGTTTTTGAAAGAGATCACGTAGAATCTTGTGAGCTGTCAGTCAGCAGAGTCGCAATAGTATAAATTATCATTATGAAACGAGCCCACAATTATGATGTTTGGAAAAAAACACCATTGTCTGATAAAGACATGACATCTGAATGAATGAGTTTCATAGTAGCATTAGGGTCCACTTGGCTACCAATGTGTATTCAATTTGCTTGAGATCAATATCGTAAAACCGCCCACTCTTGTGTCACGAGAGCTGAAGAGGCCAAACGTGAGATATGGAGTCATGGGGTTTCTTCCGGTCGGCTGGGTCAGCTGACAGACAGTCTGGAAAGTGGTACACGGTCAAGTGACATGCCGGCGAGGCTGAGTGGCGCTCCCCATGTAGAAGCACGTCTGGCCATCGACCTGTGCAGGGAGGGTGTCGTCTGCCACAAGACCTGCTGTTCATGAGGTCGATGAGCCCACTCATTTGGACCTCCTCTGCATTTTTCATTAGCACTAGCATCAGAATTGCTCGGGCGCTCTGCGATACCTTGTGGCAGCGGCCCAAGTTCGGTGCTGGGATCTTCTGTAAAGCGAGGTTGGACGAATCGGGAGCGCGTGGTCGTATCAGGGAAACGATCAGACTGACGTGTATACCCTTTAATCAAATCGAATCCTGCGATAGTTTGGCTGGGTTTGTTTTTTTCCTTGACATGACTAAGGATTCATGTAGGTGAGACGACCAATAGATTAATAATGATAGTACGGACACTCCCTGCACCAACCTCTCTAGCTGCACATGAAGAATATATCAACTTTAAACAACACGTTCGTTCCAACTTCAGCGTTCGTTCTTTCTCACTCCACGCTCAGGGCCACACGCCGAGCGGAATCGAATACTGAGAAACGATTAGACTGCTACTGGGTTGTTGCTCTTTCGACAAATCCTCAGAATCGTATCGTTATTTTCAATAAACGAGTTTCATGGTCCCTCGGGTTTTCGGGTTGTAAAGACTATTTCACAGTCTCTCCTCTTACTGTCGGTTTAGTGTAATTCCCATCTTCAAACCACCTCATTTTCTCCATCTTCTCAACTCCAATTTCTCAGAAGTCCCAGGCTTTTTCACCAGATCACTGTAGATGTGTGCCCAATTGTGGTTTGCTCCTTTTCACCCATCAAACACCTTATATAGTTCTTATCTCCGCTCTTGTTCATGTTTATGCTACTCTTATGTAACACATCTTGTCTTCGGCACTTATATGACCTGATTGTGTTGTAAGCGTCGTGTATCTGTTACTAAGAAGCCAGAACTCACATTTACAAACCGAAGGTCAACCACTTCTTTGTTTGGCGCCCCCTCCCCCTTTTTATATTTTATTTTTTCTTGTTGTTTGTTTGTTTTAGTAGAGGTTTCACTTTCAACTTTGAGATTGTCTAGTTTGAGTATAGGAGATTTTGTTTGATATCTTTGGCGTTTTTTTCCTCGTACCTCTGACTTTGAACCTGCCTATTTTATTAGTTTTGCGAGTTGATTCCATGTCTCTCACGTTGATAAGATCAAAGGCTCGTTTGGCCAAGAAGGAGCATGTTCGTCGGCTTTGAGAGCAGAGATTGTAACTGCAGGTCTCTGCCAGTAGCGTGCAGTGGCGGCTTATGCCTTTGAAGGGTGGAGGGTCAACAAGAAAGCAAACGAATGTGAACGATTTATGCATTGTACTCATTTTTGTGGCGATGGAGTAAATCGAACGTCCTTTCTTGTTAGTTGGAAGGAGATTAATTTGAAGTGTACGCGTCACATTAAACAAGGAGAACCTGAAGACCGGACAGAAGAAAAAGCCAGTGAAATATTCGAGGATAAATTTGAAAAAAAGAAAAGACTTTGGTAGGTTTTTATTTGTACGTAATTCAGTTAAAGTAAGAATAGAGCGACGTAGAGAGAATTTGATGGTCTTGAGAAAAGATGTGTTTGGAGACGAGGCGAGCGATGGAAACGACTTCAAGGTGAGTGGGTGCACATGAGGAATCCCGTAAAATCCATTGCTTTAATAAGTATTTCGCCTGAGCATTCTCTTGCCTTTTCTCAGACAGGAGACAACTTTTTAAACAATTTCTTCGGGAGTCTTTTGCGAAAATTAATGCATTGAAGGTGCGTCTTAAATCAACCGTTGGAGCCATCGACCATATACAGGTTAAAATGAAAACTGGTGAGTGGACGGCACATTCTTGCCTCTCAGCCCGCGGAACTTGCTCAAGGGAGCGTAAGGAACGATTACTGAGGAGGTTGTGCGGTGAATGGGTGATGCATGCTTCCTAACGCCTCGCAGCAAGGGAAACCAGCCGTGCTCCCCTCTTCCTTAATAGAATGAAGTGAGGAGGATGTATGCCCCAAGAACACATCCATCGACCCCACGTTTAGGGGGCCAGTCATCGCGAACTTCCTACGATGGTTCATCTTCTTTATCGCTTTTCCTTTGATCTTTCCAAATCGCTGAGAGATATTGTTGCTCTCCATCTTTCATTTAAGATTTCGTTTTTCTTATCTCCTAATCGTTCCCAAGCTGTGCTCCTCGTGTTCCTCTCTCCCTCGCCATAAATCTTTCCTTAGGTTGTTTACTCGCAGCATCTGATATCACCTTTCGTCGATATGGCATGTTATCAGATTGGACATATTACCAAATATATATACATTGTATAAAGAGAGCAGCGGCTTTCAGTATTTTTTTTTTTTCAGGCTATTACTAGAAAGCACCATAATAAAATCAACGTAAATGTGTCACCATGTCTTTGCACTCAACTTTCAGCTAAAAAAA